GAAATGGACAGGTTGAATACAACAGGGACTCAGCGCAGTTGGCAATCATTAAATGTAGTCAAACAATTCATGAGTGATTTTGGTCTTTGCGATGCATGGCGATCTCTTCATCCTAACAGTAAGGAATACACTTTCTTTTCTAATGTCCATCATTCCTACTCTAGTTTGGAATATTTCCTTATCAGCAGCTCGCTGCTGTCTAACGTCTCGGATGCTGTAATCCATCCTGTTGCTGTCAGTGATCATGCTCCTGTTACTTTAACCCTAATAAATAAAGAAATAGCCCCACAAAACAAGAGCTGGAGATTAAATACATCACTGCTTAAAGATGAAGAATTTATTTCAGTGCATTATGTATCGCAGAGAAAACTATCCTCATGAATTGGAAAAGTAAGGATAAACTCAACATCAATTAGTACAGAGATCTGTTGTTGGATCATATTAATCTTGAGACAGCATCTGCATCCCCATCAGACCGATCTCTCTGGGTTCCCTTGATCGGCTCCGTCGCTTAGTGTAGTGGGGGGCTGTGGGGTGAGTCCTATGGGGTGAAGTGACTGTAATCAGTTTCCTTTTCAGAGACTCTGGTCCAAAGACTATAACTTCTGTTTTGTCTGCATTCAGAAGCAGAAAGTTAAGAGTCATCCAGGTTTTATGTCTTGAAGACATGCCTGTACTCTAGGAAATTTTATAGTTTCATGTGGATTGGATAAAGGTCTATATCCAAGAGTAAACATAATTGTTTTGTTTACACTCTGTTGTTGGAAAATCTAGATTTCTCTTATTTCATATAATAATTTATCCTATTTATCCACTATAAAAGTTTCACTCAGTCTGTTTCACCTGCAAGGCCACACCATTCTATGTGATGGTATTTGTAGACCAGACATAGCTTCTTCCCATAACAAACCAGATTCTCTCTCAGATTTTGCAGCATCCTCATCTGGTCACTATCCTTCCATTCATCTGTTTCTTTCAGATCTCTCCTTTCACAAACACTTCTCTCTCCAGATAAGAGTTACTCCCCGCTCTCACTCAGATTAATGGAATCAGTTTCTTTTCGGAGGCGAGCTCAGAAAAATGAGCAGAACAGATTTTTCCTGAATATTTTACCTCAATGCTGAAATTCAAGCCCTCCATTTTCTCCGTAGATGAGAGCCAACCTTACCTTCATCTCATCCTGACTATAAATCTTTATACCCATCATTGTTGTGCTGTGGTCCTTCTGAACTAAACTGACTGTTATTGCTTTTGGAGATCTGGGTGGGATGTAAGACACAGCAGGAATTTGGAGATGAGTCGACCACTTTACTAACAACGCTGCATACTGAGCCTCTGTTACCCACAATGCATTAGTACCATTCAATGATCTTTCACTGTAAAATACCTCTAAATAAATGCTGAACAAATAACCCTTTTAGTTTATACTTTAAACATAAATTATTAGTCAGTATTTTTTTTTTGTATTGTTCTGAAAGTTTAACATTATTTATGAAAACCTACTGCAAACAGAACAGGAATGAAGAAGATCCTCATCCCTTCTGAAATCTCCCACCATCTTCTTCATCTTTTTCATATTGATACAGAGGTTATTCATTAACAAATAATTATTTG